GGTGCCGCACCTTACCTGTGCATTACATCCCATATAGTGACGCATACAGTCAATGAAAAGCATGCTTCATGGTTACTTGACATGTTCGTTTTGTGGTAACATTATGCACTGCATGCATTGGGCTTTATTCTTACAGTAGAGAAGTAGTTCATTATGACTGTTTGTGAATTGGGACATTTCAACTTTTTTGAAATTCCCATTTAATCCCTTTTTTTTTTACTTTTTTAATTCCCATTTAAATTTAGCAGGAGTCTGAGTCGGAGTCGGTTAACTTTTTGCAGACTCCGACTCCAGGTACCCAAAATTGTCTCCGACTCCGACTCCTCAGCCCTGCTAATAACTGAACTTTACTGTCCACCTGATGATTTCTTCGCCACTCGAGAGCTACAATATTTTATTTATTGGACCTGCGGCATGGTTTTCATTTACAATACAAAGTTATTCCTCTAATAAGCTGGCCAGTTGTTTCATTGCTGGCACCGTTAAAACTATATCAATTACAGACTGAATTCCAATATAGTTTTGTCTAATATCGCCGGTACCAGCAGTATTTTTTTTAATAATGCTGTAAAGTTTAAGAAATGTTTTAATAAGTTGAAATGTTAATGGGAATTTCAGATTTGTGTGTGTGGGGGACAGGGTGAGTTGTATTAAGAGGCTAACTTGAAAATAATTGCTTATCAATAAATTTCAGATAAATTGAAAAATTAGTTGCTAGATTAGTCGAATAATCAAAAAAAAAAAAAAATCTCTAGATTAATCATTTAAAGAATAATCGTTTGGGACAGCACTAAATACAAGCCTACCTTACACACTCTCTCCAAGAAAAATTGTGACAACTATGTTACATTTCCCCTATCAGGGACTGAACTGCTAGCTAACAACCAACAATCTGTGTTCTGCCCTTTTTCCTTCCCAGCAAAAACTGCTTCCAAGAGATACAGTGCATGCATAAAATCGACATTTCACACGTCCTGAAAATTTTTGCTATCCTTGCAAATTAACATGCTTTATGGTAAATGTTATATTGTGTTGATGTGTGTTTATTACAAACAATCGAAATGATTGTTACTATATTTTTTTTATTCTTACAACTCAGAATTCCATAAATATGGGACCAGGTTTTACCATAAAATTCAGCTATACCTGTGTATTTTTTTTGCTTGTTGAGACTGGGGGGAACAATTCTGTTACAAATCACGATTCTTCAAGATGGCAATTTTAATATTGTTGTGACAGTTTTAAACAAGGGTTACTGAAATTATGTTGTTCATGTTTGGTACTGCTAATATATTTGCCTAGTTCTAAGAGACTTTTCCTGCACCATCTCAATTTAAAGCCACAAGCAACCACAAGTGTATGAAATGCAAGCTTCCACTGAATATCTCCATACCTCTTCCCTGAACACTAAAAACAGTTTCTAAACAAACTGAAGTATTAACACCTTTTATAAAACTACTCCCTCAAGTTTCACCTCACCCTGTGGCTTATTCTTTCATTGGCTGTAGCTTGTCGCTACACTCAGTGCCAGTTGCAACACTTCACACTACAGGATTTGGAGTTGCCAACAGGTCCATATATTTAGCCTACTAGATGTCTGATGGGTGTCTATGATGCATCTGTGATTCTGTCTGATCACGTCTGTTAACCAATAGCGTGATCAAGCACCAATTTGCCAGCACGAAGCAAACAAAAATTTGCCTCCAATCTAGGGCTTTTGTTGGCAATCGGCAAAAACTTTCAGCAAGCTGGAAATCGGGGCAAAAAATCATGTACTTAGCATTAGTTTTTATTTGTTTATTTTAAAGCCCTGTCTGGATTTCCGGGCAAAAGCACACATTTGGATAATGTCGCATAAAATGAGTTAGCATTTTGTACATTTTTTCCAGAAAAATATCCAACTTTGGTATAACAGAGCTGACAAACATCCTTAGTTTTATGAACTTCTCTCTCTCTGGTTTTGGCATAATTTATTGGGAAGCCAAATGTTCCCAAACTACTGATTTAAGTAATGTGGGAGGGTCTTTGAGCTCTAATACTAGCTGTAACCAACTCAAAACACAATTAGCATAAGATTTTCCATCTTGAACATCTACTTGTGGATTTAGGTTTCACTCGTATCAAGAAATGTAATAATTTGTTTTATTGCGTGTTGCAAACTGAAAATGCTGTAACTGAAAAGCACATGATGAATGCGTGTACTGTTACAGTCCTTGTCTTTACTTGAAACGTAGACCTTGAAATGCTCTACATCAAAATCTGATTAAAAACTGCAATACATAAATCGATGTTTGTCAATTCGATATCATTAATTCGGGTGGTCACTGCCGATTCCCAACTCTATTAAACTGCGGTCTAATTGTCACGTATGGAGGGAAATCAATTTGCAATTGAGTTTTCCATATGCGGACGCATGAAGTGTGACATAATTCAATGTGGCCAGTCAAATTTTGCATTACCGTTTGCTTTTTCGCTTTCGCGAACAAACACTGACTGCCACATTTCAAATGAAAAAGCAAAGTGCATTTGCAATTGCATTTCCCATGTCTTACAAGGGAAGTCCCGGACATTTTTCAAAATTAATCCACTACCTAGATGGCCAGCTTGCAGCTTGTAGTGTCCCGCAGGCATCTTACGTTAGCAAGATAAGTTTGATGATAATTAATGCTGCTAGCGAATCACTTACATAAAAACCTATTAGTTGGGGGGCGCAATAAGTTATCGTAGATATCTATATCGAAGAGAACTCTATCGCTCATCCTGCTAGTCCCCGATGTAGATGGTTGAATTTCGGACCGTATTTTAAACCACTGAAATTGTGGCAGCGTATTTGAAACAGCGAAAATAATGGGACTGAATATTGTAAAGCAGAAATAAGAGGACTGAATGTTACTGCTTGAATAATAAAGATGCGAATAA